ACACACACACACACACACACACACACACACACACACACACACACACACACACATATATATTAACAAATAACTTAATAGGAAAACGAAAACTAATGTTCAATTAAGGCTACCTCCAAAACGCTAGTATTAATGAACGAATTTCAAGAAGCAAACAAGAGACAAGTTATGTCATTTAAATAATAATACAGCAGACACCACAGTGTTTGCAAATCGATCGATCGCACAATAGAAAAAACTTCCGGTTCGATAATAAACTCGTACATTCGACACCGACGAAACACCTCTCCGATGATCATCGATGACACAATTTTGTTACAAATAAGCCAATGGCACATATATAATACCAACGCTAATAGAATCAAGTATATTTACAATGCAAAGAAATAAGTGATTAAAAGAAAACCAAGATTTGTTTTTGTTTTTGGCTTTGTTCCAACGCAAAAGAAAGAAAAAGCAACGCATCGCGAACAGCTTCATCGAATAGCTGTGTTCTCGTATGGCCACTACATTTGGAATTCGGGTGTTAATTATTATTAGAAGCGTTTCGCTGACTGCAACTAGTAGTATACGTTTGAATGGCAAATGCTTATAAGTCGGAGCATTTTAAAAAGGAGATAAGTATATATAATTATATACTTCTTTAGTTCGAGCGAAAATTGAATATAAAACCGTGGTTCAGTGGCCTGATTTAAAATATAAAATTCAACGTTTGGAGAATATTCAAAATCGTTTTCTTCAATTTATGGTTTATAAATTTAACACAAATCGCGTTCAACATTCTCTTTATCGATCACTATTACAATTTTTAGATATAAAATTTCTAATGTAGCTGGTTAATAGGTTTATTAAATGCCCTGAAATCTTAGTTTCGATAATTTTAAATGTTCCTCGATATAGAACTAGATTTGCAGCTATGTTTACACGCAAAGAACAAATAATGCTTTAGCCTCTCATACAAATAGATTAATGTCAATAGCTAATGAAACCAAAATTGAATTCGAATGATTCGATTAATTTTTATGTAAACAGAATTTTTTGTACTTAAATATAGGTAATGTATAATATTGTTAAATTACTGATTATTATTTTGTAAAATTATTATTATTGTAAATTATTGATTATTTTTAAGTTTAATTTTGAACTAATAACTATACGTATTGTAATTAGATCTTAACGATCCGTTGAAATTTTTTTAAAAAAAATAAAAAAATATTGAACGCGAAAAAAATCCTAAATGTTGGTCGCTTCGCAGGTAAAAAGAGAAAAATAAAATACATATAAAAGTTCTAACGCCATGTTACTCGAAATTAAAATAAAGTTCAACTTCTCGTTTGAACACAAATAAAAATTATTTCACTAATTGTATATAATTTATTATATTATTCAACCTTTTTTTTTTAGGGTTCAAATTTATTTTGTTTAAATCATTAGATTTAAGTTTAAACATTTTTACCGATTAGATAGTTGAGGTAAACATATTTTTAATTTTCAATTGTGTATCAAACATTAAACTAAATAATTATAATTTCTTTTGATAAATGAGAAATTAAATCTAAACTCACTTTACGAAAAATTGACATTAAATATTTGAAAACTTAAGATTATTATAAGATTATTATTAAAATTACATTTTATTTTATTTTAAAATTAGATAAATCAAAAAATACAATTGCACAGTGCTTATAATAATCAAAATAACAATAGACTTTTGTATTAATTTAAACATAAATATCTAAAATCCACATATATGTACATAATAAGTAAAAATTTAATTTAAAACAGAAAAGGTGATAAGTATAATCCAGTAGATTTTTATATATAAATTAGAGGAGAGAGGTAGAAGTTTAGATTGATAATTTGGAATAAAATAATATATAAATAATATAGTATAAATAATACAACCGCATTATGTTTGTGGTATTTTTTTGCAATGAGTTATACTTTAGGCTTATGTGAAGTTAAAGATTGACTATGTACCAGTAATGTGGATGATATTGGTCAGAGATTGTTATTGGAAAGCTAGAAATATGAATTATTTGTACCTAAGAAGATTTGGCACAGCCAGTATTATATTCATATGCCACATCATGTTTTTTAAGATTTTTTGTACAATATTAACAAATTCCTTCCTCAATAATTATTTAAATTTTTCAATATTAAACGCAGAAAACCAAAATGTAATTTTATAATTTAATTTTTCTAATATGGATGCAATGGCACCTGGATTTTTTCTTTTTTTTAAATAGGGTCAGACCAACAATTATTAGGTAGATTTACAAAAAATGATATTTCAGAAAAAAAATTAATATAAACTAATTACTATATTTTTAATTTTTAATTATAATAAAACTATGGCAAAACTACTTTGAAATAGGTCTGCACGTGAAAAATTACTAAATTATTATGTCAGGTCAGTAGTAGGATTGCTGGTGAGGCCAGGTATTTGCATTTGCATGTAGAAACATGGCCCCACCCTGTATCCACTGCTGTATGAACGATAGTTTGACATATTTGATAATAATAGTTCAATAATAACTAATAATATGTATATAGATATAATGACTTGTACTTACGGGGATTTCCAACGGATAGATTAGCGAGTGTCGACAAGTTCTGTAAGTTGCCTGGATTGAGGTCTCCAAGACTCGGCGGCGATGTGGACAAATTTTGGTAGCCTGTATAGAAAGGATCGGTGTAATCTAAACGCCGAGGAGTATCTACATGTGTGGGATGATAATGGGACGCCTGGACATGATACGGGGATTTGAGCGCACCTGAATATTGGGTCCACACATTAACATATAATTAATGATTTTTTACAAATTGCTCACTGCACATCATTTCGGGTATAACAACAAATATTTTATAAGAAAAGCTGCTTAAATAATAATAATAAAATTTAAAGAAAAATATGAATATAATAATTCAAGTAAAAATATTCCAAAATAGAAAATAAAATTATTGCCTATGCATAAAATTTAATTATTCACTCTAAAAATAATAAGGCTCTAAAGAATACACTATAATAAATGAGGATATTATTAGGTTTACTTTATATTAGGCCATTATTTCGTTATAATTAGAAAATTTTAAATAATTGTATATATTATTATATAGTTTATATAAAAGTACAAGCAAGACCGTTCACAGATAATTTTCCCTGTTAAATTAATTGTTCAGCATCAATTCTACATAATCAACCTATATTAGTGTGTAAATTCGATGAATCAAACTCGTCCGTAAGATAAAAAAAAATTATAAATCGAAAAAATATTTCCTAGATTGAAGTGCGCTTAAACTACTATTAAAAAGAATCATTATAAAAATATATTATACGAATAATTTTTAGAAAAATAGTTTTAGAAGAAACTCAAAAAAAAAATAGTAAAAAAAAAAGAAAGAATATAGTAAAAAATCACGTATAATTAATTTTATTGAAATACCGTTAACCGTATAATTTATTTGATGAATTATACCATATCATAGTTTTAAAATATTTAAACAATTGAACAAAAATTTTATCAGAGACTCAAGAGGATTAATTAATGTTTCGTCCACGTACCTGTGTTGTTTGTTAAAAGTAAATTATTCAGCTGGTTATTATTGTTGTTGGCAGCCACAGCAGCGGCAGCAGCATTAAGTTGAATTTGCTGGAGCACTTGTGACGACAATGAATTCGTGTCGTTCTAGGAAATCATAGAAACAACATAAATCATTGACCTAACCCATCGAACTTATCATTGCCTAATTAGTTGACTAGATTAGTCATTAAATGTATGCTTATAAAATACACAATATTAAACAGTTATATTAATAGAGATGGTCAAAAATGAACCTTTATACAAAACCCACTTCACGTAAAAATATGACGTTATACATATATATTATGAGTTATACACGTCGGAGTAAAATTTATCTTACTTTCACACAAAAATGAAAGTTATCTTAAATGTTAAGTTATTAAAATTCTCACTTTATCACGAAGTATAAAAATTAGACATTTTTTTTTTTAAATTTACATTATTTTTTATTTAGAAAGCTAACATCTACATGCATCGTTGATTTTACCCAGACTTAACGACAAACTTGCAAACATCCGTAGGGAAACTTGACGACTATATTATTTTGGCGAATTACTCGAACAGACTGAATACTTTACAGTCAAAGTTTTCACGAGATCGCTTTGAATCACCAAGTTTATAACATTGCCATTTACACCCATGGGAGTATTCAAGGGGTTCGTGTTTCAATACTAACTTCATAAAACGCATAAACATGGTTCAGTACTGTTCATAAGTTTAATTAGAAAACGATTAAAGGATTTAGTCGAATTGTGGACGGATTTTGCAATCAACGCAGATGTAGTAATATAATGTAATGAGATTTTACGATAATGGTATTACTACACTCGTAGTACGTACATTATATATATATATATTAGTTATTACTTATTAGAATGATCTAAAAATTATTTATCATGAACTGATTTTATTTTTTTGATCGATACGGGACTTATACGAACATTTCGTTTTCATAAGACAGGAAATTAAACTGTTTATAATCGTAAACAATACAACTGTGCAGACTTTTTTTACGACTTTCAACAGGTTAAATATGTATTAACATAGTTATTAATGTCATACACCTTATATTAAAATAAGACTAAAAATATCGGTATTAAAACAAGGAAAATTAATGAATAAATCATGAATATGACGAAACAATGAATTTAACGGAATTCTGAGATTAGGGTAAAATAATATAAATTCAAAATTGATGTTAAACATTTATGTGGTCTATAATAATCTCTTTTCTATGTATAGATAGATACTTAAAAAAGACAAATTTACTATATTTAAATTATTACGTTTATTTGTTGATTGGCCAGTACGCCTAGAGCTAGGTACTGAGCAGTAGGCACGTTGTTGCCGCCGGTTGCCGCTAGACCCCAAAGATTCGCTTGCATTTGCTGCATACGTTTTTGGTCCTTTTCTTTTTGAGTGTCCGCGAACTTCACCACTAACGGACACGTGCAGCCCTCCATTGTCTGTGAGTGATGCATACCCTTAATAGCCGCGATCGCATTTTGTTTAGTCGTGTACGTGACAAACGCACAACCTGCAATAAAAACCATCCGATTATAATACACATGATATAATACATCGGATGGGTTTCAATATTGTTGCCCCACACTAAATATACGATATGACATTGAATATGCATAGCATATATGTTTAAATTAACTCATACTATGTTAAATATAATTACTACACCTAGAAATATTAGCTAAAATTATACTCATTGCTGTATAGCAAAAAACTTTTCTGTTTCAATTTAAATGATTTACATATTATTTTTAAATATTATACAGATTTGTAAAAGAAGAAAACTTGAAAAAAAGTTTATGGTTAAAATTATTTATCATAGAATATACCTCGTATTAGCAGTCACGCAACTTTTTGAATTACCTACATGAAATGATATGAAAAATCCGACAGTTACCTAAATTGAATATCGAATAGTTTTTCAGACAGAAATATCACAACATTAACTTTTTAAGGAAACACCATTTAAGTTATATGAAATGGACAATTATTTTATTATAATAAAACTCACAGTTTAAATATAATTTAAATATAATTTTTAAAATATTGAAATTGTTATCAAATACAATATATAGAAGTTAAATATTTTATGTTACATTTCAATAATATTTTTTTCTTTAAGTGTAGCTACTACAAATATGTAATAATATGCATATAAATATATCAATTAAATAAATGACCCATCATAAGAACCATATCTCTCATTTACTACATTCAACATTAAAAAGTAATTATATATAAATCTAAAATGAAAAGAATAAATTAGTACATAGAATATAAAACAACTTAGAAAATATTAAATTAGAAGTTAACCAAACTATTTAACAAACTAAAATTCACGTTTTAATATTAAAAACACCAGTCATAATTTAATGATGATGGTTTAAATTCAGTTTATGGATAGAAATACATGCAAAACGTTTTGGCTGGTTGATAAAAAATATATATATATTAGCATTTATAGAGCTATATAGAGCTTATAGAGCAAAGTATTTTGAAAATTATCTTAAAATTATAGTGGTTTAGAAGCCAAAAATCTGTCTTTGGCGTAATCTAAAATGATATTAATTATTTTTATTATACCACGCCTCTCTGCAACTTATTACAACATGGTTCATAATATTATGAAAGTATAAAAGCTTATATTACATTACAATATAAAAGCATTAAATATATTTCATAAGAATGTTATCAAGATATATTACCCATAAAAAAAACTAATCATCACTTATGAAAGTCATACATACATATTCAACACAAATACACTCTTAAAATATATCTAAAAATAAACTCACGCATTAATACAATAATATTAAGAATTATCATTTAAAAAATGTTCAGTCGTCAATTATAAAAAAAATAAAATATTTATTGAATTGCTAACATTTTGAATCAACGATTTACCTTTACTAACACCATTCGGGTCACGAAGCACAGAACACTCTTCGATGGCTCCAAAAGGTTCAAACATATTTCTGATGTCGGGTTCGGATATTTTTTTTGACAGCATACCAATGAAAAGTTTTCTTTCTGTAACATAGAAAACACCTATAATTAGTAAATCCCTTTTGCACATTCAGAATTTAAAACTTGAGATCCAATAAAATTATATTCAAACGAAAATATAGAAACTCATATTTAAAAAAGAGGATTGATGAAAATATAGGAAAAAATACAGAAAATGATACCCATTTAACAACAACGCAAACCAAACAAAAGAGAAAAACTATTACAACGATAATTACTTTAGTTTGATAAATTAGACGATTTGTAGGCATAGTGTCTAGTTATGTTCGTAAATTTTGAGTGTACTGAATAAGTGTGATATAACTTTTAAAAAAATGTGTCAGTAACACATCGATAACTGATGAGCATAAACAAAAATTACGGTAATTAGAAAAAAAATAAATAAATAATAATAAAAAATCAATCGGACAGTAACTAATTGACATCCACAACACGAGGAGGAATCTTCAAAGTCAACATTTCATAAAATCGGGAAAAATATTTTTAAAATCATTATATAATATAATGAAACAGTACGTATATCTATATACAGAGCATATAAATGGACACATCTGGTCATAAATTCTTAGACACCAAGAAGTAATTGATAAAAAATTATTTATAAACAAACGAATCTCACGCTATAGTGTGGTTTAACTATAACTGAAGAATATAACATTGAAAATATAATCATAAATATATTTTTACGCTAGCATTTATGTACTTTAGAGTTTATCATGAATACTATCTCTATAATATTTTCAAATAGAATTCGTTTTTTATCGTTAAAAAATAAACAAATCACTCTGTCGAAATTATGTCAAAATATTAGCAAAAACCATACAACATAAATTGTTTAATTTATATTTTGAAATCAAATTATGTTATTTCATTTTACGGAATACAAAAAAAAAAAAAAAAAAATAGACTCAAGAATATTCAAGCTATGAAAGTTTAGAAACGATTCGAAAAACATATAGAAAATTGTAAGGTAGTATCAAAAAACTTCTATCACGTAAAATCTGAATTAAAATCGGATAAGAACCATGACCATTACAAACCATTAAAAATATGACAATTCACACGGACATTACTCATAAGACTCACAAATGTATTCAATTTTAAAAGCCAAAAATAATAACAATATTACTGTTAAATTCACTCTGGTTTGTGTGTGTGTCTATAAATATATATTGTATAAATGGACATACCCTGGTTAAAAAGGGAAACACGTTGACCAACGATAAAGTAACATGATGTTGTCCATGGCGACGCATCACATTCAGTCATATAGACATACATTATTCTCCATGCATCTGTTGTTTTCATAACGGAAAACCAATTATTTGGATAACGCCCTTGCAGCATCGTGATTAAACGAGCTAGACGATATTTTCGGAAACTGCAAGTAGCCAAATAGGGCAAAACCATCATACTCTCTTATGGGTTTAATTTGCGAACGTGTGCCCCCCCCACGAGCAAGCTTTGTTTATGACGATGACGATGTGTAAAAGTATGTGTTATAAATATATATTCTCAACCCCTTTTTCTCCGAAGCTTTTCAATAAACAAAATATGGCTATTGGCATAAACGCTTCTAGTTTAAGTGGTTATTGTTGTAAAGACTTCCCCTATCCATCCTATAAAACATCCACACACAAATACATTAAGTATACACATATAAAGCTGACTTTATTAGCACGCTCAAGTTATTTCTCTACAAACCAAACCAGCGTAAAAAACTAGATCAATATAAATATTGACGGTTGAATTTTGTAGTAGGAAATAGTTGACAATTAGCACTATATATATATATAAGTATTTTAATCTTGTTTTAGCTCATTGGTAGCTGAGCAGTAAATCATGCAATTAGATCACGGTCCAACATCTAACATGACTTCAAGAATAAACGATTTTGTTTATCTAGATTCTAGATCAGTAGTGGTTAAACTACGGCCCGCGGGCCAACTGCGGCCCGCCATCATTAAATATCTAACCCTCTAAAATATTCTACATTACAACACTTATTTGCGTAACTGTAATATTTTACATTTATGTAAAAAAAAAAAAAAAAATGAAAAATACATTTTTTTATGGCCCGCAGTTAACCATGCTATAATACTATTAAAAATATGCATAAAAATATAAACTATTAGGAAATTAGGTACAACAAATACAAAAATTCACAAGTCATTAAATATCTGTACTACGTAAAATAAAATTCAGCTGAATTATCATTAATTATTGAATATAGTGCAATACAGTGTTAATAAAAACATATATACAATATATTTGATATATGAATGCATAGCATTAACCTACTTATAAAAAAAAGTTAAACAAATAAAAAAGAACCAATATTAATTGGTCACTGTGAATATGAAAAAATTAATAGATATTTTATTCATTACGATCTTGGTTACCATTTAGGTAAATGCTACTACATTTCTAAATACCAAATACCTAAAAAAATAAATTAAAATATGTATTTATTTGTATGATTTTCATAGAAAGTACAGTAACAAATTTTGAAAGGAAACACAATTAAATAACTAACATATTTATAACCTAGGTATTTAAATGCTTAGTTACACTTCGTGTAAAAAAGGTAGGAAATAAAAAAACATTGATTATAAGTGTTGATAAAAGTACTATTCTAAAAAAAAAAAAATGTTGTGGAATCTTTAACCATAAATCCAAGTATAGTAACAAATTAATGGTAATTCACATTATGAATTTTTTAAAAATTGATAACTTAAAAAACGTTATAAAATTAATTACAGGTTGAAGTATGAAAAAATATTCCGGCTTATAGTTTTTAGGTATATAATGGGTAAAATAAATATTATACGTCTAATGAAGTCATTTATTTTTGGTAAAACCAAAAAGTAAAAAAAGAAAAACGATTAAAAAACTAGAATAGGGCATATTTGAATCATGTTGCTGACCTGCATATTAATGTAATCGACATTTATCTCTTTACTGTCCCTCCGAGCAACATAGCGTTGGGGAACGAACATAACTCGGAAAAATCCATTACAAAAATATGACGTTCGTTCAGTGATAACATTTTAAGCAGCTTACACAAAATGTTTAAAAATTTAAACAAATCTATTATGACCATTGTATTTTATATAAATAGAAACCACATTCATACATATAATTCCAATAGTTTTCATAATTTTCTAAGATTTTGCGGTTCAAATATGCCTTTCCACTGTAAGTCTAATAACAAAAAATAAATAAGAAAACATTTAAAAAAAACTTTTATTTATTTAACAAAACCTGTTCAGTTATATAACTATTATAATTTACCACTTAAGTCATTAATAAGTATACTTTTTATACCTTATAAAAAAATTGATTATACTAATCAAGCGTAAAATAAGGATATTGTTTAATAGATGTACTACTTAGACATGATTAAATTTCTAAAACCATAATTTAGAATTAAATTTTATTTTTATTAATGTTATATTTACAATATTTAGATTAAATATTATTATAAAAATTATGTGTTTAAAATATTCTATTATCTTAGAAATTATACTAAATGTTTCGGGAATTATCTCATTAGATACACCATTCACTACAAACATAAAAAATTCAATAATTAATGTTATTTACAATACGAGTCGTTTTAAGTTTTAATGGAATTGTGTATGAATAATGCAAAGTATAACCATACAAATTATACATTATTATTTTAAACGAAAAATATTAAAAATATAAATATAATAATAAAAAAGTAATAATTATTTTTAATTTTGTACATTCATAGTTATAAGAATATACGCTATAATGAATTGTAATAATATTAATAATAACTAGATTATATTTAGACATACATTTTGAATTATTTATATTGATTAACTAGTTCAAGAATTTAGTTTAAAACTATAATAGTTCGATTTATACTTACATAAATGATAATATTCTAAATATATTCGAATCCTTAGGGACATTAAAAAACCAAAACAAGATTCTCTACATTCATATTTTTTTTACACAATTCAAGTGCACTTGAAGCACATTAGTTGTGAAGTATACATAGTATTTACATATAAATGAATACACATATACTTATTACATTTAAAGCACAAAAATAGTTTGCATTTAGCCAGAGTATACACCTGAAATTATATAAGAGTAGGGGAATATTTATATTCCTAAGTATCTATAGTGCTTCACATATTATTTTACCTCAATAGCTATTTTGCAAAAAGCTCAGTATATTTTAATTTTAAATTAATTTCAAATATAAATTATAAATAATATAATCCATCGGTGATGCATTACAAAAAAAAAAAAAAAATAAAAATAAAAAATAATGATAACTTTTTCAATTGGCTGTTAAATAATAGTCAAATAATATTCAACGACACTTTAAACAATATTATTTATGACATATCAACACTTAAATTTAAATGATTTACTAGAAAAAATAATGAACTAACTTAAATAAAACTACATTATACTTAGTTCAATTATTCATATTAACTTAAGATCTCACTTACGACTACGTCAAAATTATCAATCTGAAAAATTAAGTTTAAATTGTTTTTGCTATAACTTCAATATTATATGTTATTTATATTAAATTCTATACTAAAAACTAAAACTAGGTTTTAGTAGGTAATTAGATACATCCGAATATCAAATTATAACTGAGTTATAATAAGAAGAGATATAGAAAAATTATTTGATATAATAAATTATTAAATAAATACTCTATTACCATAATTTAAACACTTAAAATTATCTATTTTTGCATTTAAAGTGTTAAATTGGAAGTATTTAACAGAATTGACTGAGATCAAAACACTATGATTTATAGTCAAATTCGTACCCATTTACAATAGAAAAATTATAAAATACTTATAGAATGTTAACCATAAGAACCTGAAACAAATTCGATAAAAACTACAATTTAACTCTAGACATTTTGAAAGTTTGTACACCTACTGGATTTATTCCTAAGATGACAACAATATATCTTACAGTCTAACATAAAATATAATTAT